TTAGAAGGTGCACTAACAATTCCAAGCATTTAAAACAGTTTTTGAACCTTTTAAGACACACTTAAATTTGCAAAAATGGACATCGCAAAACCATTGAAATGCACTGAATAGGCTTCCATGCATTCCAATGAAGGAAACATTGTATCGCTTAACGATGTTTCCTATGGGTTTTTTCGCTTAAGGACGGCAATCCGTGCCTATTGGAACGGATTAACCGGTTTTCAATGCATCTCTATGGGAAAACGCGTTTCGCTTAACCATGTTTTCCCATAGCAATGTTTTTTTTTTAACCAATTAACATCGTTAAGCGAGGTACCACTGTAAATGAAATATGTTCACAAATGCCAGCTAAGTTATCAGGAGCAGTTATGCTATTGTGGTTGTTAAGGGGGAAATGAACATTTTGGATGATTTTTATGATTACCTTACCTAAAAATTAGCTGTCTTATTCATGACTGCATGTTCTGTTACTTAACAGTAGCTATAGATGAATATGACAGCTGTGTGATACAGTTCAGCCCAATCAAAACAAGTTAGACACAGCACTCAATGAAAGCTATAAAGTCATTATTGGTTGCCTGAAACCAATCCCTATTGGTAACATGTTACTTAGCAGGAATCACACCCAATCACATACCGCATGGAGAAAGGTAGCAGCTAGCACTGAAAGATCCAAAGCATCTATATTAATCTTCATTAGAGATGGGCATGAACCTCGGTTTGAAGGTTTGTACACACAGCATCACAGGTGCTGTGCATTCCCTTCCCCTACCTCCTTATCTGAATGGGTGATCAGCCAACAAGATGGGCAGGGACACCTGTGCTCCTGCTTGGGACCGGCTAAACAGCCAAAGAGAAGGAGGAGAGGTGTGCATGCCAGTTAGTGACTGGGGGATTCAGTTGGGGAGGTGGAGGAAGTAAATGTGTGGCCACACATGAACCATCACAAATCTCTGAACCGAGGTTCATGCCCATCTCTAATCATCATCTTAGAACTGCAGAGCTGGTAGGGACCCTATGAATCATTAAGTCCAGCCCCTGTCAATGAGGAACAGCGGGGAATCAAACTCCCAACCTCTGGATCCACAGCCAGATGTCTAAACCATGAGCAATCCAGCGGTTAAATGCACATCCACTCTTTGGCTATTATCCTGCTCCTCCAAAATTAAAATCAAGGAGAAGTCCCCTCCCCCCAGAACATTTGTAAATCCTGAAAGAACAGCAGAAAATACCAGGACTCTAATGTGACAAGAAAGAACACACCTCTTAAAACAGATGGAATCCCAGCTAGATGGAAGTCTAGCTTATGGTCAAACTGAGAAGTGGGTTACTTGGAAGTCACTAGGCTGTGGACTGGAGTTGGCAGAACCGGGGTGAATCTAACAAAACTGTTTTTTTTCCCCTTTGTCAGTACAACAGGCAACTTCACACCTATGTCAGTACACTCTATACTCCTCAACATGTATTGTGGAAGACTAGATGTTAACTCTTGATGTTTATTTATTATATTTATATCCCACCCATCTAGTCCTTCGACTACTCTGGGCGGCGTACATCAAACAAAATAATGTTGCCTGTTATTTGACAAAAATTATCTGATGTATTTATTAATTTTATTGTGTCGCTTCTAAAATGAAGAAAGGGCTTTGGAAAGTTTTAGAACAAAATTTTGAGGGCACCAGATGACTTCCTTCTCCACTAAACCATAGCAGAATGTTCATAACTTTTAAACAAGAACTTACCAATTTTGCTGCAAATCCAAATACTGCACATTGATATCTCCTTTAATGTCTTCATAGTTGCTTTCAGATCCCTGTACAAATAAGAGGGGTTGAAAAATAAGAAATAAAGCAAACCTCTAACTCTGTCTTTCACATTTACCACCACTTACCCAGATTGACTCCATTACGCTTTCTTTAAGTATTTTATTCATGTCCCAGCTAAGAACCTGGCGCTCCGCAGTATCATCTAGTTCCCATTTGTGAAGGTTAGAACTGGTCAACGCATAAAATCTTGAACCACTGCTGTCCCAAAGGACACTTGAAAGCTGCATTAAATATAAAGATCGACAGAAGCTGTGATGCAATGTAGTTCTCTGTTTGAAGAGTCTATTAGAATAAGACAGAATGGCTTAATATTCCAATGCTAAAACTGTAAAAAGGCTTATATGAATTTAGCTAAAATGAGTTAGATTTCTTGTTTGTCTCCTCTTTTCATACTGCATAGGTAAAGGTATGTGTCTGTAAAGTGACCTGGACATAAGAATACTGCTGCTCACTGTTTATATCACAAGCATTTGTTGCAACATGAATGATGGGGAAACATAATGTCTAAAAATCAATACTCCCTCAAGACAAAATGGCCAGAATCCTATTGTGTTTGTATCAGTTTTACATAATCTGGTGTGTTTAACTGCAGCTAATTGACAAGGTTCCAGGGCACATCTCAGCTGTGTGCCAAGTCACAATCCTGACTGTTCAATGGACATGCACCTTGGTGCTCCATCAATTAGCTGTAACTGACCATGGCAAATTATGTGAAGCTTATGCAAACACCAATAAGATTTTTCTTATATCTGGGTCACTAGTGACAAATGATGTAAGCTTTTGAAAATCAGGCCTGTTCTCTGTGTGACAATGTTTCACAAATGTGATGATTAGATAAAAAACCAGTTTGGGAAGATAAAAAACTCTAGTATGTATATTAAGGCATGTTAATATTTTGACTGCACAAATGGGATGCTTTTTTGAATTCTATTATTCTCTAGTATAAACTCTCTTTCAAAAGGCCTCTCAAGCAAGCAGTTCAGAACTCTGGAAAGTTTGTTAGCCTGTTAGGAAGGGAGAGAATTAGGAAAGGACAGTAAAAGAGACAGAGAAAAAGAAGTGACCCAAAGAGAAAATAGGCACCCCTGCCCACTGTCAGCATGTCTCTCTTAACAGCTTGCCCCTACAAAGAAAATGGAGCCCTTAGCAGAGAAAAAAGTCTCTCATCCCCACTGTCATAATGACAGGCAAGTCATTTTGCAGCATCACAAACTACAGGTTATTTCTCCTTTATCTTGTGGGCTGGCACAATGGCAGGAAAAGGTTAATATTGTGAGGTAGCTTATCTGTGCTATTGTCTTAGCCACTCTGGCTCATTCAGGGATTTTAAAGCTAGCAGCCTTGGAAAAATTCTTTATTCTGATTGAGAACAAATATGACCTAGGGACAGCTGGGTCCTTGATGTCATGGTCAGACCACAAGGAACCAAGAGTAGGCTCATGCACATACCTGTATTAGGGAAATCTTTTTCCATTGCTGAGCTGGGTACTCAGAAAATGACTGCACATTCTTTCCTACTAATTTACACCCAGGGAATAGCCTCTTATTTGTTACTCAATTTGAACAGAGAAGGAAAAATCCTCTAGTCCCAAGCAAAATACAGGGTGAGAAAAACCCTACTATAAAGCCTTGTACTCATATGAAAAAAAACTCAGAATCCATATAAAGTATTTTAATTACTGTTTAATTTATTGTACATACTTACTGCTGCCTCATTAGTGGGAGACAAAATTCCCAGAAGAGAAGAGACTCTTCTGCCTAGTCCAGAAAACATCCCTTGTCCCTGTGGCAGGTTATGCTGATGAATCTTTCCAGTACTATCTGGTGTTAGTCGGATGAACTGACTCCGTGAAGTGGATAAAATGAAGCTTCCTCCCTGGGGGAAAAAGTCAAAAGAAAATAAACGCTTTTCAATACACCTCAGAGTAAAATAGAAGAATAATTTTAATATTATTGTGAAAGATAGTCTGTTGAACAGTGATAAGACACAATTCGTTTCTTTCAGAGCTCTTAATATGTCGATCTGAAATTCTACAAATGTTTGCTTCATTAAAGTTTGTACTTTACCTTTACAGCTGTCAGAAAACTGCAGAGAGCACCTCCAAAATCTGTATGTGTCTCAATGTAAGAACTTTCATGTGCAAGGCTGGGCCAATAACGTATTGATCCTTCACTGGTGGCTGCCATTACTGACAAAGACTTGGAAACACAGCAAATAGTGTTAGATATGTACTCAGGATTTAAAACAGTTTCAAGCTTTTAGCTTTCATGGCGTGCAGAAAAGAAACTCAAAAACTGTAATTGTGTGAAGAAACAAGTAATCAATTTTGTGAGGTTGCCAGGCAGTGTGTATTTGTTTCAAGCTTATTTCAACCCACATTGCAATGTGCAATTTACTTGTCTGCAAATAGACCTGTTATAGAAGCTAAAATGGCCACTGGCTCTAGTTTCTTCATGAGAGAGCTAAGCAAACTTAAATCATTCTCAAACTGTTGAGGCAAAATATGGGGATAATAAAGGAAAGGTGGAAATGCTTAACTTTATCCCAGTCAGAGCCTACTGTCCTACATCAAGATTGCATGCATTTCAGAGCATCCCACTAGGTCTGAGGTTGCTCTTCACTTCCAAACCCTCTGGAAGTAGGAACGTCTGCAGACATTTAGCTGTATTCCGATGAGGTGCGAAGTGCAACAGCTCCAATTGGTGTTATCAACTACTTTTATTTTAGCACATAACTCGTAGAGTGCCTTACATTGGGTAGAAGAGGCTTGGACACACATTCTCTGCCCTGGAAACAAAGACCTCAGTTTGCTGTATAGATGTGTGAAATCACACACCTCTTAAGAAGATTTCTGCCTTTATCATACTATGTAAATACATGCATTTTGACAGCTATCAAACCTCCACATTTAAACCTGCTAGTATTTGCAAAAAAATAAATAAATCTTCCTCAACCTTTTCTTCAACAAATATTTGTAAACACTGAAGAAATATACAGAAGGACCACAATATCCAAGACGGATAGGTTCCAAGCCCCTCCACAGATGCTGAAACCTGTGGATTAGCAAAGCATGTGCATAGCATGTTATCTGGCTCCCTCTAGTGAACACTTCTAGTAACTACATCGTGAAAATAAATATACAGTAAATATGTACAGTGGTGCCCCGCATAACGAGCGATTCGTTTGACGAATCCACTTAGCAATGTGTTTTTTATGATCCTTTTTGCGATCGCATAGTGATGTTTCTAATGGGAAAACATCGCTTTGTGATGATCGGTAAGCGTTTCGCTTACCGATTTTCGCATAGCGATGTTTTGGGAACAGCTGATCGGCCGCGTAATTAAAATGGCCACCCACAGCGTTTTCGCACACTTTCCTTGCTTACCGGGCAGCGAAAATGGCGGCCGCATGGAGGATTTCCACATAGCGGTGAGTTTACAGCCCATAGGAACAAATTAAACATGTTTTAATGCGTTCCTATGGGCTTTTTTGCCCCGCATAGTGACGAATCCACATAGCGATGATTTTTTGGGAACGGATTATCGTCGCTATGTGGGGCACCACTGTATTTGGGGATGTTATTTAATATTTTCAGGCAACAGAAAAGGGAAACCACAGATATTGATCGTATGGATGGGGGGATGTTTCCTACTGTATAGCCAAATAGTAAATATATTTATTAAAATCACTCTTGCACAAGTGGCACATTGATCGTTTGATTTCACTGTAAATAATTTCTGAAGGACCCCATGACAAAGGATGGCATTTATTTATTTTACAAATGAACTGTTCAAAAAGAATACAAAATTTCTCACCTGTAAAGAAGGTGCTTCACCAGGTGTGGCAAGGTAGGATATTGCTACTAAGCCTGCACTCCACAGATAGTCACTGGGGGGTAACTGCAGTTCTTTGCATGCAGACAGCTGCAACACATAAATGTCTATTTTGTCTGACAATGTTTAATTTAGAAGATGAACTTAAAGTGTTGAATTTTGCTAAAAGTTTATTTGAGAACATCTACCAAATCCTTAAAAACTGGAAATAAAGTGTCTAATCCATCTAAACTCCTGTTTTATCATGTTATCAATTTTTAAAAAGCATATTCCTGCTGTCAATTCTCAATTCCAGTTTTTCCCCAGATATGCAAAATATATGAAAACGTAGATGTTACAGGAAGTGTAAATGCCTGTATCATTTCTGAAATGTAGTTTTTATATTTATCCATTTTGGACATAAAATGATAAATAGAAAGTGAAGTAGTCTGCAATTCCTACATCCAAAAACACATTTAAGTTCAGGTTTCACAAACACTACATAAGACTCAGACAGAATAAGGAAAAGGTGTGTGTTCCCCAAGATTACACAAATTAGCGAAGAAGAAGAAGAAGAAGAAGAAGAAGAAGAAGAAGAAGAAGAAGAAGAAGAAGAAGATGCAAAAAATTGAAGTCAGTGATAGGAATGGAGCAAAGAAAAAAAAGCAAAGTGTGCTGCTTATATTCCGCCCCATAGCACTTAGAGCACTTTCTGGGAGGTTTACTAGTTAATTATGCAGGCTACACATTGTCCCCACCTCCACCGCTCAGCAAGCTGGGTACTCATTTTACCAATCTCAGAAGGATGAAAGGATGAATGAACCTTGAGCCAGCTACCTGAGATTAAACCCCAGGTTGTGAGCAGTTTTGGTTGTAGTACAGCAGTTTAACCACTGTGCCACAAGGCTCCTGTAACAGTGGGTGATCCCTTTTATTGAACGAGTATAAATCACACAAATTGCAAGCATTCAGGGAGAAAATCCACTTCTTCAAGTGTAGCACAATCACTTAAGACAACATTTTTTAATGTAGAAAAATTGTACACAAGAGTCCAAAAACTGGTGGTACATGTTTCTGAGAGTTGATGTAATTCTTCTGAGACTGTATTCTCAAGCCCCTTTGCAGCACGGTCTGGAATTTTTACACCCCTGTCTTAGGGCCAAAAGGCTGTTAATTACTCTGTGATTGCCAGGGCTTGAAAAATCCACTCATCTTTGATGAGTGAAACATTGCTTGACGAGCCACAGCTCCCTCTCTACCTCCTTGCCTCCTTACCCTCAGTCCTGCTCTCTCTTTCTTTCTCTGATCCTGCAGTCCTCCCCTCCCCCATTGCAAAAGGAAAAACAGCCCCCTTCTTGCGAGAAGAAAGTTTGAGGACATGAGGCAGAGGGCACCAGGGATGGGAGACAGAGGGCAGCGGAGGGGGTTTGGATGCACAGGAAGCCGAAAGCCAGCAGCGGAGGTCAGGGCGGCTTTCAGCTTCCTGGGCTTCCAAAGCTGCACCCGCTGCCTTCTGTCTCCAGTCCCCAGTGTCCTCTGCCTCCCCGTGAAGACAGAAGGCAGCGGGTGCAGCTTTGGAAGACCGTGCTGCAAAGGGGCTTGAGAATACAGCCTCAGAATAATTACATCATCTCTCAGAAACATGGGAGGCAGAGGGCAGCGGGGACAGAAGGCAGAGGGTGCAGCTTTGGAAGCCCAGGAATTTTTTTCTTTGGCCAGAACGAATTAAATGGTTTTCAATGCATTCCTATGGGAAATGGTGCTTCAACGTACAAAATTTTCGAGTTACGGCCACCGGTCCAATACGGATGAATTTCGTAAGTTGAGACACCACTGTATATATAAAATAAAGGCAGCATACACTGGGTTCTATCTATATGTTATGTCCTGTCAAGTCAGATTTAACTTATGATTAAATGGGACTTAGGGTTTCCGAGGTATGTGAGACATTTTAGGAGTGGTTTTAACAATGCCACTACTGGTGAGCTTTAATGGCTGAGCACAAATTCGAACATGGGACTCCTAAATTGTAGTCCACCACTTTATTCACTATACTACATTGGCTGTCTATATGTAAAGTAATATGGATTCTTTTTGATAGTGCTGGAAACAGGAGATATTAGAGTACAAGTCCCACTGAAATTCTAAAAGGTATTATTCCAAGAAAGTGTATGTGTACATACTGAGCAATTTATTCCTTCCATTACAATGCATACAAATTAATTAGTAAAATAACACAAAAGAGGAAGTTTACAAGGTGAAAGCTAGCCTTCATTTTAATAGTCATATGTCCAATACTGAATTATTTATCATCTAAACCTCCCCAGAGAACACTTTAAATGATGCAAAACAAATGTATTCCAAATTGCCATCAGTGGTGCTCATACCAATGCCACTTCTGAGGGTCCTTATTTGTCCATTTCCATTCGTAACCCACTGTTAATTTACCTTAGCAACTGGTGGCAGACCAATCTTCCAAATAATTAACCTGTCTTTATAGACCAGCCAAGCCCATCCACTTTCATCTAGCTCTATACTCAAATGGTCCTCAGCTATATAAAAAAAGAGAACATATTTGTTTAGATTTATATTCTGCTCTTCTCTAGAACTGGGACACAAAGTAGTCTGCAAAGATTAAAAGGACATGCAGATAAAGATATAAATAAAACATTATAATGCTAAAATAGCAGATGATATAAAAACTCCACTGAATGAAAAAGCATTTTAAAACATGCACAGATGTTAACCAGTACCAATTTAGTAAAACACTGCTTTCCTCTGCTCCTATACAATTGTAAAAGTGTGCCTGATTAAAAAGGTGTTCATCTACTGCTGGAATGACCACAAAGACAAGGTCATCTGGCCTTTCTTGGCTGAGAGCTCTATAGCCTGACAGCAGCCACTAAACCTAAAATATCTGAGAAAGAGTGGAATAAGTATGTCTCTTTAAGTATTACACATTTCATGAAAAAGCAATGAACTAACAAAGCCTGGGGGCATAAGTCACATTAAAGAATTAATTTACAATACTGTTTAGAACTCCTCTTTATCTTTGTCAATAGAGCCCAATAAAAAGTAATACTATCAGAAGTACCTCAATATTCAATTATATTTAGGACACTTATATCTCATCTGTTGCCAAATAGCCTCAAGGAGGTATAAGAAAAACAACATATAATTAAAATATAACAGGGACTAAAATGGCAAGTACTGTAAAGAAACAGCAAATGCAAGAATAAATTGGGGGGGGGACCATTTGGAGAAATCAAAACAAAATAGCAGATCAAAGGTAAACTACCAACATTCTAATATATTCAAAGACACAAAGAGGATGTGAGCACAGAACAGACTACAATTTAAAAAGTAGAAAGTGGGCCTGCAACAATATGCTGCAGTGTTGAGTGTTCCAGTTTCCAAGATATTCAATTTCAGCTGCACAGAAATAATTTAAAACCATTTCTTTGATTTCATAAGCCAATAACCTGAAGCACTTCTATCTCCTGTTGGAAATAAGTACTGTATTTGCTGGCGTATAAGACTACTTTTTTGCCCTGAAAAACATGCCTCCAAGTGGGGGGGGGTCGTCTTATATGCCGGGTGCACTTCAGTTGGGATAGACATAGCTGCCCATAGCGGCCTTCCGATGCTCGCCCGGTGCCCACAGTAGCCTCCCGATGCCTGCCCACCTCATTCTACATACTGTCCAGTATCGCGCGGTATCCAGCGTGGTGCGGCGAGCATCAGCAGCGAGACAGGGGTGCCAGCCTTTTCGACATAACCGGCCCGTTCTGCTTGGCAGGAAGCAGCGGCGCTCCGGCCTGCTCACACATGCACACTTGCGCACTAGTGCCAGTCACAGGGAGATGCAGGGGCAGGCCTGAGGCGCTGCGGTCGTACAATGGTGACAATTAATAGCACCTTTTATTTGGTGTGTGGAAGGTGTGCGGAAGAGGGGATAGTCTTATATGGAGAGTATATAGCAAACTCTATATTTTGAGTGGAAATGTTGGGGGGTCGTCTTATACGCCCAGTTGTCTTATATGCCGGCAAATACGGTAATACTTTATGTGTAGTGGCAATCCCTAAATGAGCATTTTGGTATCTCAAACTTGAACTTTATATTGTCTGAAATGTGTATCTATCACCACATCTATGAATGCAAACAGTAATCAAGCATTACTTGGAACTCTACAAATCTAACAATCATTTGCCATTATTCAGTGTTATCTGATGAAGCACTTACCACCAGCCATTCTCAAGGCCTCTACAACTTTCACTGGCAGAGGTGAGCCACAGTTTCTCATCTCATAACTGCTGGTTTCACATCCTATTGGATGGTGTATAACTTTTGTTGGTGTAGATCTAGGCAAAAGCAACCACAATGAACATTTTCAATATTCTTCCATTTCAAATACAGTAAACAGTTACTTAAGGTGCAATTGAAATGTTAATACAGTGTGCCCCGCATAGCGACGTTAATCTGTTCCATGATTAACATTGCTATCTGGATTCATCGCTATGCGTTGCCATACATTTCAATGGGAAATGGTGCTTCAACTTACAAAAATTTTGAGTTACGGCCACTGTTCCAATACGGATTAATTTTGTAAGTCGAGACACCAATGCACATCCTTCTAACATCTACTAAGTATTCTATAGCAAGAAACCACCCAGTGATACAGAATTATTGGATGCCGAAGGTGTCTCTGGTAAGATCCAATTGTTTGCTCAGTTCTAATATAAAGGCCACCAGCATTCACTGTGACTGAGATTAGAATGGCTAGTTTGCTACTACAGATCAACATAGCTACCTACTTGCATTTTGACTCTTTGGGATGTCTGACTATGGGGACTGCCATGACGAATGCCTGCATTTCTACACTTACAGCACATGTCACAACATGCAAATTCTTTATTAACTCAAGTAGCACAACACATGGGAAAGCAAGTATTTAAGTAACTGGAAAAATTCCCCAATGGCTTTTCAAATCAATGTAATCACCAATATAATAACTGGCAAGTGTTACATCTGAAAATTATCCAGACTGCAGCACAACAGAGAAAATCAAACTGTATCTTCTTTTTCTGTGCTCTAGTGGTTCTTAACCTTGGGTTACTCAGGTGTTTTTGAACTGCAACTCCCAGAAACCCCAGCCAGCACAACTGGTGGTGAAGGCTCCTGGGAGTTGCAGTCTAAAAACACTTTGGTAACCAAGGTTAAGAACCACTGCAAGATGAAACCTCCTCCTCTAAAGCTGGAGAAAATCTGACAATAGCTTGACAGAAGTAAATCTGCTAATTATGAAGACAACTCTGCATTTAAAAAAAAATTCCATATAAAATGAACTATACAGCTGATCAGCTTAGTTACTGGTATCATTAATCTTACTGGCTACATTTATATTCCCCCTCCTTCATTCCTCCACTTAGGTAAAGTGGGATCATCTCTTTCTCTTTACTTTATCCTTTAGCCCTTCCAATAGCCTTGCGAGGTAGGTCAACATGAAATAAAGTGAGTTCCATGACTCGAACCTGTATCTTCCAATCGAGAATTCTGACCAGTACACCACACTGGCTTTCAATATGTTGGCAAAATTAAAGGGTGAAAGGGAAAAAAAATAGATCATTGATTTCATTTTATCACTCTCCCCCCCCCCGGGGGGGCATCATATTCAGGCTGACTAACATGGCTAATTCTTTGGAAATCCCTTGTCGGTAGTATCAGCACTCGGAGTGCAACTGAGACGACTGAGCAGTGAAGAGTTCCCCTACTTCTAGTCTTCACTTCCTTACGGTATTCTGCTACAGAGATGTTAGCTGCTAAAATAACCGGATTGCCTCCTTTGACTTCGCCAAGCAAAATCTGGAGCCGGCCCCTCCTCCCTCTGGGCTGGGCAAACCCCGACCTGACACTCACCGTGCGGAGAGAGAACCGAGGCTCTTCCTGGTGGCCGGAGAGAACAGGGCCGGGGAACTGACGGAAGGAGTTGCCAGCCCTCGGCTCTTTCGGCCTGCCGGCCGGAGACCTCTTCGGCCTGGCCCCCCACCGGCGCCGCCGCCTGGAGTATGAGGCGAACCGGCAGAAGGTGAAAGAAACATCCTCGCCACAGAACTCCAAGCCTTCCACCCACAGAAACCCTCGAGCGACCCGGACGGCACGACGCGCTCGCGCACCAAATGTACGTCATCCCTTGTCCTCCAGGAAGCGATTGGTCGAACAGCCTGAGCGCTTTTGCCTGTTTGGCTCAGGGAGGCGGGAAATGCCGTTGAAAGGGAAAGCGCGAGACACGGGGCGGCGGGGGGAGCACGGTTATTCCCTGGGGGAAATATGAGGCCATCTCCGAGACAAAAAATAGCGGGCTCGTTCAGAGCTGCTCCAGTTTGGTTTTGTTTTTAATAAAACGCCAGCGCGAAAGTGACGTTAGTTTTATTATTGCACGAATTTATGACTAATGTTTTTATTTGCCCGGTTTTTAATGGACATTCGGAAGGCTAAACATAACTTGTCAACATGAATGCATAAGCGGAGTTCGGTGGCAATTAACATATTAACCTATGGATGTTTTTTATTTTTAAAAAATGAATGAGCCAGGACGAGAGCATCGCAGGAAACCAGCCATCTCGTCTGTCCAAATAAGCAATTCTTGCTGCAACTGGATGTACATTCTCTCTCCCTGTACAAAAACGGGTGGAGGAACTAGCTACTTAATGCAGAATTGCACTTCAAATGCTGTAACGCCGCTACTGAACAAATCCACTTGGTCCCAGCAAATTCAATATCGGCCTTAAAATGCAGTTACAGATAAATCAGTTGATATAAATATGCTCAAGCATGGTTTTACAAGTTGGTTCAGATTTTTGGCTTCATGATTAACGAGGTTGCAGGGCGGATTCTAAGTCATGACCTGGTGAAGATGGAAAGGCCAAGGGCCTTCTGCCTTGGTCCCATTACCTCCTGGCAAATAGAAGGGGAAGATATGGAGGCAATGACAGATTTTACTTTCTTGGGCTCCGTGATCATTGCAGATGGTGACAGCAGCCACGAAATTAAAAGACGCCTCCTTCTTGGGAGGAAAGTGATGACAAACCTAGACAGCATCTTGAAAAGCAGAGACATCACCTTGCCGACAAAGGTCTGCATAGTCAAAGCTATGTTTTTCCGGTAGTTTTGTATGGAGGCATTCAAGATACTGTATTCCTATCAGCCGCTGGGCCATGTCTTGATGTTTTGCCTTTTTGTGTCTCCTGTCCTGATCAAACCTGAGTTAGGATGAAAAAATGTCTCAGGGTACCTAAAAAGCCCTCTTTCCATTGTTTCATGTAGATTTTTTTTTAAAAATCTTCCTCTGGAGAATTATGTATAATTCTCAAATTTGGGGGGGGGTTGTTAAAAAATCTTTATTTTGATGCAGAAACAATAGAATTTCTATCAAAGGCAGATAAGTAAGCCCAGTTTCTTCATGCTCTGGCAGTGGCAGGAATATCAACACTTGAACTACCCTTGGCTTCCAAAACTCGACCTAGGGTTCACTTACCATTTATGAATAATTAAAAGAGAAACATTACAGCATACTAAACTGTAAAGTTCTGTCAAAAAACTTGAAAACCTGAATGCCAATTCTGATCAGGTCCAACCACAACGGAAATTACCATTCAATATCTGGAGGTCCACTGTTTCACCAGCCTCTATGTGCTCATATTTTATTAAATATGTTTTGAAATGCTCTTACAACAAAATATGAAAATCTGATCTCAACTTGAGAAGAAACTATATTCAAGTGTATAAAAGTTCAGTAAGGTGGCAACTTCAAAAGAATCACACAGAGGTGTAGTCATGTGTGAGAGAGGCGGAGACCCGCCCAGCAGGGCTGAAAATTAGAGGGTACATTGACCATGACATATCTACTTTGAAAGTGAGACATATTTATTTCCTTTTCAGTTGTTACTTGTTTCCATGTAATCTAATCACATGAAATCTCTAATAAAATTAACAAAGCTGGAGAAGGACACTCAGTTTTAAAAGCAGCAAGGATACTACTTTTTAAATATTTTATATTAAAAAGACTCCTGTTCTTTTGCTGAGGAAAAGATACTTAATAGCAGAATGAAATATTCAAATAGTTTTGTTCTCCTTCTACATGAAATAAAGTATTCTTTAAAATTAGCAATATCTAATATACATCTAAATAAATATGCTTCCTATTTTGTAGCAAATGTTGGATTTTTATTTCTACCATCCTGTAACTTATGACCCAAGAACAAAAAAAATGGTATGCTGGCAATTCAATGCAGTTATATGGGAGTGAGTCCAGCAAGGTACCAGTGGTGGAACCTTAAGCCTCCTTCATACAAAGTAGTTGCTTCAACACCTGTCTTCTGCTCCTTCCTTAAACACCACAAGAGGTAGTCCAAATGGCATGCAGACTGAGGAGACATGTCAAAACTTCTGATTTAATTCCAACAGCTTGGATTCTTCTGTGGAAGTGCTTTCTGTCTAATGGACTGGGGCTGACACAGGATTGTATATATACATATTTTAAAATACATACACACACATTTAACTCTATACAGTTCTGTCTCTCTTTCTCCATAGTTAGCAAGTTCTCTTTAACTTTGTCTGTCAGTTCCTACCATCCAGTAACAATGTTCTGGAGGGTCCTCTAATACTCTGAAGGAGATTTACTAAATATGTAGGAGAAAACGGTATAAATCACCTCCTTCTCCAACTGTGAATGAAAAGTACTATGAACATCTCTTACTTCAATCTAGTAACTTAAAAAGGATTATAGAATTTATTGTGGCTTTGATTTTCTGCAATCTCAGACCAGGCTGAAAAACCAAAAGGAAGTTGCAAAGCCTTAAGACGAAAAATCAGTAAAGATCCCTATCATGGCAACCATACCCATAATAAAATAATCAAAGAATTACAATATGAAAAATTTGCTTGATAACTTCACAATATATTTAGATGCTGTGAATAAAAAGTACAAGCAAGTTTTCAAATACTTGAAACACAGTGGAAAAATATATAAATACATTTACTGTACATAAATGGAATCATAATTTAAAACTCTTGGAAATGTATTACATACATAGTTTTTCCATATTTTATTCTTTAAAAATATTTGTCCATCAGGATTTAATATTTAACACAAAACTATCACTATTCTGGATAAAAGATTGTTTCTTCATTAGTCTGCTGAAAAGTCCATTTGGGTTTGCAAGCAATGTCCCATGTTTTCCACACTCAATAATTCTGCCTTGATCAAGAACTGCAACAGAGTTAGCATTCTGAATAGTGGAGAGACGGTGAGCAATAATCAGTACAGTTCTCCCTTCCATGAGCCGATCTAATGCTTCTTGGACTTGGAATTCATTTTCAGCATCCAAAGCACTAATTAATGAAAGAATGAAGGAAGTGGGAAATATGTTAATATCTCAATTAATTTTTTCCCAATTGTTTCACTACAGACTATAGCTGTCTTGGTTTGTTTCTATTTCCTTTTAAATCTTTCATAAATGGCAATAGCTGAAGGATATTTAACAAAGCCCAATGTTTTTCCTGACAATGTAATTCCTCTTTTGAAAGAATCTTAACACATGGCCTTAATCACATTTTGTATTCTATAGAAATCTTTGGAATTTTAAAGAGATATTATCATTTTTAATGTACACAGAAATTCTCTAAGTGGGAGAATTGATTCTCTTTCAGAACGAGGTGACTGAGGCTTATGACATTTTGTAGAATTATGTTGCATTTATTTAAAATACACAGGTTGAATATGGGCAGAGGCCACAGTTTAAACTGCGGTCCCTTACAAATATTAAAGTACTATCCAGTACTGTCTGCATATTATATTCATGAGCTGAAACCCAGTAATGTAAAGTTATGATGTGTAAATACAATGTCATCAGCCATGACAGTACTTTTGTAATTAGAAATTTTTGTATCCTCCCCAAAGGTTCCTAAATTCCCTTAGGATTCCTTTGGTTTTTAGAAACCCTTTGGAGATAATAGGATGACGACAGGAAGTTTTGAATTTTTGAAAATTGTGCTGTTGGTCTCGCTATGGCCAAACATATCTTTCTGCCCTGTTTTGCTGTCCCCAAAGGTTTACCCAGGAGCAAGCATGGGGAGGGATAGGGAACTTTTAATTATATATGTGACTGATGATGTCATAAGAATGATGTAACTTTCGGTCAATTCAAAGTCTTTGTTTTAACTAGAAATAGGCACTTACAGTGCTTTGGCACAGTTCAGTGTTGTGCAGGTGCCCCAGATATTACACCCGGCCTCCACCCCCACTCAGATGAAAAGGCTGGGCGGGAAAGCCCATGGTGCTGCTTCTGATGGGGCACCCACGGGAGGAGGTGGGGTGCAGAATCCAGATCGCCCATGCAACACCTGTGGGCCTGATCTGCTAAACCACGCCAAAATGCCAAACCACAGTTGTGCCCATCTCTAGTTCTAACCTATAAGCCCTAAATGGCTAGGCACCAAGCTGTCTGAAAGACTGCAGCTTATTTTATGACAATACTCAAATGTTAAGATCATCAGGAGGGGCCTTTCTCTCGGTTCCACCATCTCCACAGGTGTGTTTGGTGGGGACATGGGAGAGGGCCTTCTCTGCTGCTGCCTCCACACTCTGGAACTCCCTCCATCTTTGCTGTCCTTCCACAAGAAGGAAAAGGCCTTTCTCTTCATGCAAGCTTTCCCTGAGTGACTGGCTACCAGAGTAGGATTTTTAAAATAAAATTGGTGCCTTACTGCTCTGAATGTGTTTTGGTGTTGTTTATGTATTTTAGTATAGTATTTATTTGATCCCTTTTAATATATATGTATACTCAGTGTTGTTAGCTTTAAATACTGTATTTTAATGATGTAAGCTGAGGTCCTTCTGTGAGTAGAAAGGTGGGGTAAAAAGGATTTTAAATACATAAATAAATAACTCCACATTACAGGATTTCAACCGTAGTGTTTTTGGCACTTGTGCAACGCTAGAGTATTTTGTAGCTGCTAAATTTTAACTTTATAATCACGGATTTGTATGCATTTACAAATTTTGTATATCCTCAGGATATTTCAGGCTTTTGAAGAAGTATGTCTCAGTCCTTGTTACAATGTCATAGCAGGAAATAAATCTGATACAGTTTCATACCTGAGATAATAAAATATGAGCAAAAGTGCCTGAAGATTTGAAAGGGCAGCAGAAAAGCTTGAAACCCACAGTAAACAGGAAAAGGATTTAAATCCTTTAGATTAGAACAAGATCACCAAGAGAGATACCAATCAGCCCTAAGTGTTTCTGGCATTTTTTCCCTTATAAGCAAAATATTATTTCACCTGACAATCTCTTTTATATCATCTATATTACTCACCTTGTTGCTTCATCAAGAAGAAGAATTTTTGGATTCTGAAAAACGAAATGGAATAATTTTACTTGGACAATGTTTGGGATGGTGAAGCCTGTTTTAGTGTACAAACTGTAGAAAAAAGAACTGAAATCCCAATGTATGTGCATCATCAGGAAGGACAGATAAATTTATAATCAAGATATAGCTCTTGGGTTTTTTGTATATTGAAGCCAATTAAAGGGAAGGGAAATCTTTTCTACCTATGGAGGTTGTTGTACTGGCTAACTTGACAGTGTTAGCTTTAACTTTTACACCCAATGCTCACTTCTTTTTTTTCTACCATGTTTCCCCGAAAATAAGACAGGGTCTTATATTAATTTTTGCTCCAAAAAAACGCATTAGGGCTTTATTTTCAGGAGATGTTTTATTTTTTTCATGTACAACAATCTACATTTATTTAAATACAGTAATGTCATCTTCTGGTTGTTGCACAGTGGTGCAGAGTTTCACTTAACTATGGATTAGTTTTGGGGTAGGGCTTATATTACAAGCATCCTGAAAAATCATACTAGGGCTTATTCTCAGGTTAGGTCTTATTTTCAGAGAAACAGGGTATGTATCATAAACTGTTTGAAAGGAAACAGGAATTGTCTTTCTGACCACAACCAGACAAACACATGCAAGTTTGAGATAGATCATCATCATCATCGAACTGCAGAGCTGGAAGAGATCCTATGGATCATCACGGCCAGCCCCTGCCAAGGAGTTCCAGTGAGTGACAAACACATGCAAGTTTGAGATAGATCATGTAGGAGGTATCCTCATCATCATACAACTGCAGAGCCCCTGCCAAGGAGTTTCAGTGACAATGGAACTACAGAGAGCTCCTGCACACCCAGATCACCATCATGCCCAGCATGAAATACAAAGTCCAGAGTGTACCCTGCTATATGTGCGGGGCCAGAAACCACTTGGGACAGAGCCATGGTTGTCATGGAGGACATGAAATCCTGAGCGGCTTCTAATAAGTTGGTCTCAGCATGGAAATTGAAGTTCCCCCAGTCCTATCAGCCTAGAGGACTCCAACATCACCTCCGATACCAATTCAGTCAGCTCAGGAAGGGAGACTGTTGAGCAGCAGGGCGGATGGTATACCAACAGAATCCCTCTTCTGACCTGGGCATCCACCTTCAAGTATACACACTCAAATCCAGAAAACTGTGGGACAAGGCACCTGGGGAGGGGGATGGAATCACAATAGACTACTGCAACTCCACCTCCTGGCCCCCCAGGTCTGGCCTGCTGATGCACTGGGACAAGGCACCTGGGGAGGGGGATGGACTACTGCAACTCTACCTCCTGGGCCCTCAGGTCTGGCCTGCTGATGCAGAGAGAACCCAGGTGGGCTAAGTGGGAAGGACTAACTCCCCCAGCTTCATCCAGCCAGGTCTCTTTAATACAGGCCAGGCCAGCCTCCTCCTCCAGGATCAGGTCCTGGATGGCTGATGTTGTCCCTTTTACTGACCTGGCATTCAGCAGCAGCAACTGGAAATCCTGAAAGCAGCTCAGTTTGCCAGGCCAAAATCAGGTGAAAACAGAGTATTTTGGCATAGCAGTTTCATTGATATGAAGCATGTACAAAAGGAGCAAAGAATTCCTTATCTCAGGGGACCTGCTGACATTGTTGCACTGACAAACACGCCAGTACTACTGTGTGGAGAAATCTGACATCTCTTGGACAAATCCTATCTAATAATGTTTAAAGATGAATCAGGTCTTATAGATCTTATTTGTTTTGTTAAAATTATTTTAGGACAAAGGAAAGCATCTCAGATGTCTCAAAAAATTCATATTATTTTTCATAAAATAAAAAATACACATTTCACAACAGGTGATGTTCCTCTGAAGTTTTTCTCCTTTGTAAAGGTCTAGTTTTACTTAACTAGGTTAAGAGTTATTACAAAACATGAAGACATTCTATTTTGTGAATACACATTATGCTTAAAGTAATGTGCAAATTGTAATTAGCATTACCAAAGACCCAGCTGATCTTCTTCAAGTACAAAGTGTGATACTTTTAACATCCGGAAAAAAATTAGTAACTTAATGGGGTTCCTAAGGCACTGCTTCTGAAACAGGATATTCTCAAAAGAACTGTTGAACAGGCCCCGTGAACAATCTGATTTTCACATCCTCAAAAAATAAAATAAAATAAAATAAAAAAGACTAGGCAATAAAAATAACAGAACGCATTTATTTATTTATATGACTTTTATACTGCCCATCTGGCTGCCAAGGTCACCCTGGGCTATTTACTTTCAAACAAATACCATATATAGACTATATATATATACAGAATATATGGTATCACAATAACTTTAATTTCTAGTTCTTCTGCTAACTGAGCTATGAAGCACCTTTCAACACACAATATTTAATATCTGTCTACCCTTTCTTTAAAACACAGACATGAAAAAAGACAAAAGACTTACCTTGAGAAGAGCTCGGGCAATTGCAATTCGTTGTTTTTGCCCACCTAATATAAATAGATATGAAGTAAATATTTATGTTAAAAAATTCTGCAGTTTTCTGTTTTAACTCATCTTGCTAACTTAAATGTAGGAGATAATGAAGGCAAATTCACTATACTAACCATAAAGCATACTGTACAGCCATATAAATGTTAGCACTGTGATCCCACATCAGCCAAATGCTGAATTCTGGGTTGAATGAGACTATTGATGTTGCCCCAGGTGCACCCCAGATCAACATGCACAAATCAGGTTTCAGTGCAGATCAGACAAATGAGGATGGCATTGGGTGGGGGGAGTAGCATTAGGAGGATTAAAGTTTTTAAAAGCGGAGGTGTAAAACAGAGAAAAGTAAACTGAAACTTAGACTATTATATACAGGAGATGCTTAGTGGGTGCAAGGTAATGAAAAAGAAGAGGAGCTCAGTTTCACTGACTGACAGCTTCACATCAATACAGATGAAGGACCTTTCCTGCACTCTCCAATAGCTGAATGCGGACAAGGTGAGATCACCTGGCTTTATGTTTTTACACTATGTTTCTACTCGGTTTGCTTAGTGCTAGTTAGATTAGATTAGAATAGAGCTGTAATGGATTGGTTTTCACTGTGAGTGTGCTGGACGGGTTGCTTTGTCTGTGCTTTGAGTGATTAGATTATGGTCAATTTTAGCACAACAGAGTCTATATTTCTCTCCCCTCCCCTGCTTTTCTATCTCTATGAATTTCATTCTTCTGATTGCCACTTGACTTGCCTGGGTTGACCTGCCTGTCACTAGCTATAGCAAAGTTGTTGCTGCTGCCCAAACAGTGCCCTGCCCCCTTACCCCAACTTGACGTATAAAGTATATATTTAAAAAGTATATTCAGTATAAAGAATGCAGTTTCTAGACTGAGAAGACACAGGAGCCAACAGCAACTGTTAAAATAATAATGAAGAGGTAAAGCAAACTTTGGAGATTTGTCTCAAAATCTGAAATGCTGCCTGTATGCAATTTGGCACAGTGAATCCTCTCCTTGTTATCTACCATCTTGCCATCTTTCATGGTGATGTACATGACTTCCCCTCCTCCACATTATAGCCGTCTGTGAGTTCCTATTCTAGTGTATATAAGTTCGAGACATCTGGAAGTTTGAACATCAGCCTGAACCCAGGCACTGTCTGGCAGGATCACATCATGGCAGGCTGAATTGCATCCCATTTGAAATGTCAAATCAACACTCAGGTTGGACTGGGGGGACCCGTGCACAACCCTAAGGAATCCTTTCATTAATTGGAACATCTTACCTGAAAGAAGAACACCTTTTTCCCCAACTAATGTATCAAATCCTTTTGGAAAATCTCGAATAAAACCAGAAGCATTTGCAATCTCAGCAACTTTCTCAATTTCTTCAATAGTTACTGCAGAAGGGTTCTCAGAACCATAGGCAATATTTTCAGCAATGGAGCATGAGAAGAGAATGGGCTCCTGACCAGTATGAAAAAATAAAGAATATGACAATGCTTCACAGTACACATATATAGAAAAAAACTATAAATAAAGGGATATTATTCAACAACGGAAAAGAGGATGATGAAGAATACTACCTCCAGACTGATTTGTACAGTGTAACTGCCAACTTTAGAAGCCTGAATTCAAATGGACAATGCCCTCCACCCTCAATTCAATGTTCTCAGAATTCTGATCAAGGCCTAACTGCACTGTGGTACATAAATAATATAATGAATAAAGAGTGATTCGAAACTTACCTGACTTACTGTTCCAATTTTAGTCCTAAACCAGAGAGGGTTTAGCTGACGAATATCGACACCATCAACAGTGATGCTTCCTTTAACAAAGCAAGATAATGTTGTTAAAAATGATAGATAGAATATAGTTAAATAATCATATTCTATACATGGGAATGCTGGTAGAGGAAGAAGAAAATAGGACAAAGGAGAAAGAGCTGTTACAGTGGAAGTAGACACAATGCCACGAAGTTCATAATTATATGCTTAAAGTAGTTCTGTAGAATGGCAGTGTTATTAGAAAGACTGGGTCCTTGCACCAGTGTGAATGATTTCTACAGAGGTTTTCTTAATGTAAGAAAGCATAATTCATTATCAGATCCAATCAGTTTAAGTTGTTAAGAACTGGGTGGGTCAAGATTGCTCACAAGAGGCAACAGAACACATTCTCTTAGCTGAAATGTCACCCCAAGATTAGTTATAAGAGGCAATCCAGAACTGACCTTATAGTGGTGTTATTTGGGGGAATATATATCCTCCAAGATAACACATTGTGGAATTTTTGCCTTCCTAACAACTACCTCCTAACAACCTAGCACTGCACTTCTATAGTCTTTGTACAGCCAGCAGCTGTACAAGCTGCTACAGCACATCATTTGGAAATCATTCTGAAACAACTGGCTAGGCAAATTATTATTCTCCTCTCAAGAGGAAAATTCTGCACAAACAGCACATGTCCAACAACTGTTGATTCATCGCACATACACACATCCTTACCTGAGACTGGGTCATAGAGCCTAAGCAGGAGAGACACTACAGTTGATTTGCCAGAGCCACTTGGGCCAACCAGTGCCATGACAGAGCCCGCTGGGATGGAAAGGGTAAAGTCTTGAAAAACTAAAGCTTCTGGACGAGCTGGATATGCAAACTGGATACTTTTGAACTCCAGAGCACCTCTGAAATCATCCTGGTTTAATACTCGTCCCTCTAAATAAAAACCAAAATGATAATGGCAGTATTAAAGATACAGTATCTATCTGAACATTTTTAATTCGAAAAATCTTATTCACCAAAGTAGGAAAAGCTTTAGTAATCTGACTCCAGAATGTTCTGTAGTGCTAGCAAGACGACAAATATGAGGGACACAAAGTAATTTACCAGGATTCTTCATCGTGTTTGATATGGAGGTGTTCTCAAGTAAGGGATATATGAAAATACCTTAAATACGCTCAAAAAGCAATACAATATGCCTTCCAGTCAACATACCCTCTAATTTTCAGCCCTGCTGGGTGGGGCTCTGCATCTCATGCATGTGGCTTCACCCCTGCGTGCATGGGGGACTCTGCCCCCATGCACTGAGTTCTGTCGCAACTGGAACCTAATGTGATTGCTGTGTGAAGGAGGAAGACAGCTGCACAGAGGGAAGTGGAGTCATGTTTGCGCATGCGCCCATCTTAGTGGGAACTTTGATCCCAGTTGTCAGTATTTTTTAGTAATCTCTGGCTCACCGTTGTCTAATATTACTAAAATCCCAAGTGTCCCTGCTATTCTTGACAATGCTGAACCAAAAGTTATTTATACAGTACTCACTTTCTCCCAAGTTTTTTCATATGAGTAGGCCAGTGTATCAGGGTAATAAGGTACAATCATAGAGAATGGGTAATGAAGAAAGCATTATTTAGAGAACGTAAACTGAGCTAACCAGGAGCAAGAGCAATTGAAAAGGTATAATAAAGCAGAACTGAAACATTAGTCATCTGCCCCATTTTTGTTAAGGACACATGGGGTCTTAAAACAAGCTCCCTGAGAACTTCAATTGGATATGGTGCTTCTGGTTAGAGAGTTTAACACTACAATCTATGATAAGCTTTCTGTCAAATGATGGAAAACTTTTAACCTACTAAGTGCTTTCATAAACTCTTCCTTAGTTGTCTTTAGAAACCCATTCCACACTTCTCTCTTTACTAACAATGTGGATGCTTACCTACTGAGCCTAGCACTTCTATCTGCAAGGTGCTATACTGTAAATCCTTTTGCTGGGTTTTGCTCTAACTAGACTAACACAGCTAGCCTCAGGAACGTTTACTATACAGTGGTGCCTCATTTACGACCATAATCTGTTCCAGAAGATGGACGTAACTCGAAATGGTAATAAGTCGAAGCACTATTTCCCATTGAAATGCATTGGAACGCGATTAATCAGTTCCAGAAGAAAAAAGAATACCCCCCAATAAATAAAAATAAAACACTGCAAGCGCTGGGGCTGCAAAAAATAAATAAATAAAATAAACAACAGAGCAAGCCCGGAAGGTGCTGGGACTTTAAAAAAAAAACAGAAATAAACAATAAACAACAGAGCAAGCCCCGAAGGTGCTGGGACTTAAAAAAAAAACAGAAATAAACAATGGAGCAAGCCCCATCAGAAGGCACTAGGGCTGCAAAAAACAAATAAACAAACAAAAACAAAAAATAACAATGGGAGCAAGCCCCATTGGAAGGCGTTGAGGCTGCAAAAAAACAAAAACAAAAAATAAACAATGGAGCAAGCCCTGAAGGTGCTGGGGCTTAAAAATAAAGCCAAACCAAAAATAAACAAGGGAGCAAGCACCACGCTGGGGCTGAAAAAAAATCACCAATAAAAACAACAACACAACACAGAAACATAACCCCCCCAACCCAAACCCACCTAGAACAGTTTTTAAAAAGCAAAATGCAGCACCTTACCGTACCAGGCAGTCCCAAGCCTCCCCCAACACATTCACTCTAACCGTTGGGGCGAAAGAGCTACAAAGAAGCAGCCTCTTCGACTACCAACGGTTAATAAATTTGAATTCCCTGACTTTTTCCAGTCACAACCCGAAGCTGCGGCCACAAGTAGAAGCAAAATTTTGCGGCCGGAGCTGGTCGTAACTCGAAATGGTTGTAAGTCAGGGCGTTCGTAAATCGAGGCACCACTGTACAAAGATTTTGATCTTTTCAAATATTACATGGCAAACTTCTAATTAGAAATTGTTTTAGTTTAATAAAAAAGGGCAACAGAATCTCATTTAAAATGCCTGTTCATATTACACAAGCTTAAATAAGTGCAAAATGTTAATGAATCAGAGAACATACCATTAAAAGGAAGTTCTGGCTTTCGATCAATAAGCTCCCACAGACGCCCTCCTGCACCTAATCCTTTCATCAGCTCAGAATAGAACGAGCTTAAGCCTAAACAAACAAACAAAAAAAGATCTGTTGTTATGTGTGAATAAGAATGCCAAGGATATGCAGTTTGTCTTGAAAGATGTTTTAACAGTCCTCCCGCACTGAATGCTTGCTTCAGTGACTCTGAAAACATACATCCTGAAATACAAGTCTTCCTCCTCTGATAGGATAACCTTTACCAAGCCCCTTTTCAAACACTAAATTTTAAACACCTATTTTGTACGCCTATTTAAAAATGGAGTATAAGACTAGGATGTTCTCAGCAGGGAATAACAGTTGTACAAAGGCAATTCCTTTCTCCCATTATTTCAAGAGTTGTTAGTATATTGCAGCTGCAAAAGGTGACCAACCAGCACACAACTATTTCTCCCTTTTTATCAAAGAAAAAAAACTTGTGAAATGGCTGACAGTGCTGTTGTAGGGAAGGAGGAAGTCTTCCTCATAATCATTAGGGATTCTGGTTTGCAGTTTTCAGAACTACAGGTATACATCTGCTGGAGTAGCACACCAGGAAGTGATCAGTCCTTCTGGCCAAGGTCAGTACACTTCGAGTTTCTCCACTGGCACCATCATGACTTTGCCATCTGTGCTAGACACATACCTGTTCCCATTGTGGGGTGCTATTATATCTGGTTCCTCCACCCACTACACAAAACATTCAGATTAGTGTATCTATCGCACAGGTACTAATATATTCTAAAGAGAATGCGTATATTCTAGTTTATAGCTGAGCCCTAGAAGGAAGAAATAAATATTTCTGAAACATATTAAGTTCAAATAAAATGGGGCATCTTTTTAGAACTTCTTTGCCTTTGTTTGGAATTGCATAACATGTTTCTCTTCATTTCCAGCCAATGAATATATGCAACACATCAACAACAGAACTTTCATACCAGTTTCCACAGTGGAGTTTATCGTTTGCAGATAAACTATTTGGCATCTCCACTCTTCAAACTTCAGATTTATTTATTTATTTATTTATTTTATTTATATCCCGCAAACTAGGTTTCTTCCTAATGGGCCTAATGAGTGTGTCCTTCAAGTCATTCATAATTTTTAGCATGTTTGGAAAATATCTGAGCCCATCTGGGCTGTGCCTTGCCTGAGGAAATGCCAGTTCAGATTGCTGAACATATTGTGAGTGAATAATTTTCTTATTTATGCTGGATCAGTTGTCTGAACTAACCCTTGGTTGTATTAATGTAGTTGTTGTTTAGTCATTAAATCGTGTCCGGCTCTTCGTGACCCCATGGACCAGAGTACACTAGGCCCTCCTGTCTTCCACTGCCTCCCGGAGTTTGGTCAAATTCATATTCATAGCTTTGATGACACTGTCCAACCATCTCATCCTCTGTCGTCCCCTTCTCCTCTTGCCTTCACTCTTTCCCAACATCAGGGTCTTAGGTCTTATTTATTTAATGTCTTATTTATTTTCCCCTGTCATGTTCTCAAAAACATTATCCTAATGGGTTTCATTCATTTTCAAGCATATATCTGCCAGCATAGGAACCAGATCTTGAAAGAGAATATTACAATTATTAATCGTATGGATTCTCTAACCACCACTACTGAATCCTACAGGTGTTCTGTGCTTGCATTAGATTGCTGCACATGTGTGTGCATGCATATACTCACAGAGAGAGAGAGAGAGTCAATATATTTACTAACGTTTAAATATAATTAATACTTTTAAATAAATACAACAACCACTCAAATTAATTATAGAATTTTGCCCTGTTTTGTGGGGGAAAAGTGTGCCTTATGGTGCGAAAAATATGGTAATACTTTTAAATAAATACAATAACCACTCAAATTGATTATAGAATTTTGAAGGAGTACTTTTTGAACAGTGGTTCAAATCTTAAGAGATCACAGTAACTCTACAGACAAGTCACTGGACTTGATACAGTATCTGCTGATTACACAGGAAGATCATAAGAGGTTCCAAAGTTGGCCAAAGACTTGCAATTGTTCTCTTTATAGGTGTCAGGTAAGTTTCTTTTTGGTCAAGAGCTCAGTGGATGCAGAATTATGATAGCTGTTATATAAAAAGCAACATTTCCAAGCAGCATTTCTTAAATGTCTGAAATACTTTTAGCAATACATTTCTAAACAGAAAGTTGTTCTGGAAGCCTTTTTCAGTTGAAGAGTAAAACTGAAAAAAATCTAAATGAGGACCAAAAATGAAAAAAGTACCACTCTAATACTGGCTTAGATCAAGGGTCTCTTTAGTGCAGTCAACTAGATGTCTCTAGGAAGTGCAGGACATGAAGGCAATTATCCTCTTCTGTTGGTATTTCCAAGCAGCTGGTATTCAGTGATATACAACCTCTGAGCACAGAGAATGTATACTGCAAGCCATTCAGGTTGCCACTGATATGTCTATTCATAAACAGACAGCTAAACTAGCAATCATTGTAACTTCTTGTGGCAGCATATTCTACACATTGTTACGTGCTATGTGAGGAAATACTTCCTTTTGCTTGGCATGAATTACTGTCCATTGGTTGGTATCACAAGATTTTCCTCTCTATTCATTTTCTCCGCACAATGCAAAATTTCAACACCTCTACTGTGTTTCTCATTCTAAACAAGTATCTCCTGTAACAGTTTAAATTATTGTTGTTGTTAAGTGTAAATTTGTTATGCATACCTCCAATGCTTATGCCAACCCAGAAGGCATACATTAAGAAAGAAGACAGTTCACCAACAGTCATGTGAGCACTGCCCATCAATAATCCTCCTTTGTACAGGACAGAGAGCACAATCAAATTCCCAGATAATCCAGTCTGAGAAAGAAAGGGGGGGGGAGAGGAAAAATTGCTGAAAGAATAGCATGTGTTCCACAACAATCTTTTAAGCAACATCTTCTAAAATGCTCCCAGATCTGAACACTGATCTGAAAACCCATGACCTTTTGGTTTTAAACAAAATCATGGGATATATGTTGTGAAAAGCAAACATTAGGCTGAGAGCACTAAAACTTTCATCCACATTCTTTTACGATATAATAGTTGAACAACAATATGCATGGTTAATTCAATACTGTACACTTAGTTAATTTAGTATACAATGGTGCTTCACTTAACGAGCGCTTCGTTTAACGATGAATTCGCATAGCGATGCCTTTTTCCGAAAAGTTTACCGCCTCAGATAGCGATGTTTCCTATGGGGGAAATCCGCTTAGCGATTTCGGGACCATGATTCGCATAACGATGCTGTTTAATAGTCCCCATTTCGCTTAGCGATGTTTGAAAAAGAGCAGGAAAGGTGGCTGTTTGGCAATGCTAATTTGTTGTTTTCCTTCAAAATCTAACTGCCTGTACCCAGGATGCATTGTGCCTGTGCGGGGAAGGTATAAAACTCCTTGCCCATGCATCCTGGGTTTACTCTCCCATGTGCAGTTCCAAGGTTGGCTTGGTCTGTTTTGGGGGTGCATCCTGTGGTGGAGAATGTCTTTAACTGCAAAAGGTACTGTTTGGCAATGCTAATTTGTTGTTTTCCTTCAAAATCTAACTGCCTGTACCCAGGATGCATTGTGCCTGTGCGGGGAAGGTATAAAACTCCTTGCCCATGCATCCTGGGTTTACTCTCCCATGTGCAGTTCCAAGGTTGGCTTGGTCTGTTTTGGGGGTGCATCCTGTGGTGGAGAATGTCTTTAACTGCAAAAGGTAAGCTTGCATTGCTTATCCTGGGTGTGTGGCGGGTTTTTTTTTTTAAGTTAGATGTTTTTTGCAAGGGGCAATTTGGGTCTGGCTGGCTCTGGCTGTGGTTATGGTGGGTTTTTTCAGTTGGAAAATTGCAGAGGTTTTTTTGGTGGGGGTTTCCGTGGATTTGTGTGGGATTTGTGTGTTTAATTTTTTTTTCCTTTGCCATGCTGCTTCTGTGTGGGTGTGTGTGGTGTGTGTGTGTGTGGAACGTTGCTTAAATCAGAATGCAAATGCATTTTCTTGTGACTTTCTGTATGCCTGCACCAGGAATGTGGATGCCCAAGTGAAATCATGTGTTTAATTTTTTCCCCTTTGCCATGCTGCCTATGGGTGTGTGGGTGGGGTGTGTGTGTGTGTGGAACGTTGCTTAAATCAGAATGCAAATGCATTTTCTTGTGACTTTCTGTATGCCTGCACCAGGAATGTGGATGCCCAAGTGAAATCATGTGTTTAATTTTTTCCCCTTTGCCATGCTGCCTATGGGTGTGTGGGTGGGGTGTGTGTGTGTGTGGAACGTTGCTTAAATCAGAATGCAAATGCATTTTCTTGTGACTTTCTGTATGCCTGCACCAGGAATGTGGATGCCCAAGTGAAATCATGTGTTTAATTTTTTCCCCTTTGCCATGCTGCCTATGGGTGTGTGGGTGGGGTGTGTGTGTGTGTGGAACGTTGCTTAAACCAGAATGGAAATGCATTTTCTTGTGGCTTTCCTGCATCAGGAATGTGGATGCCCAGGGAAAAACATGGTGGCTTTTCCAGATGATCTGTTAGATCAAAAGGTAGGTAGAATTTCATTTCTTGTGGTTTTTCCCCCCTTTGGTTGTGCTGGGGGTGTAGTTACAGTGTGTTAAGTCTAATTTTTCTCAAATTTTCTTTGGTCAGGCATCCTTGTGGTGTCCTGTGGCCTTTGGTGGCTTTTCCAGATGATCTGTTAGATCAAAAGGTAGGTAGAATTTCATTTCTTGTGGTTTTTCCCCCCTTTGGTTGTGCTGGGGGTGTAGTTACAGTGTGTTAAGTCTAATTTTTCTCAAATTTTCTTTGGTCAGGCATTCCCTTGTGGTGTGCTGTGGCCTTTGGTGGCTTTTCCAGACGATCTGTTAGATCCAGAGGTAGGTCTGATTTTAGTTTTTTTTTTCCCCCTTAGACTGCGGTGGGGGTGTGTGCCAAAACTGCCACTTGCTTGTCCAGGGCAGTTTTGGCCAGGTGTGGGAAGGTGAGGCAGATGTAAAGCACTGACTGTTGTTTTTCCCTTTAATGTAGCAACGTCGGACATGGGTCCAAAGAAGACTGCTTCTGCCCAGGTTGGCAAGCCAACGAGGGAGAAGGTCACCCTCGAGATGAAAAAAGAAATTATCCGAAAATACGATGGAGGGAAACGCATTGCGGACATTGCCAGGGAGTACGGCTGCAATGCATCAACCATTGGCACCATCGTAGCCAACCGTGAGAAGATCCTTGCCACGGATACCGCGAAGGGTGTCACAAGGATCGCCAGGAGCCGGCCAGCTGTCCTGGAGGAGGTGGAGAAGCTCCTGGTCATCTGGATGGAGGAGAAGCAGCGTGCAGGGGACACGGTTACTGAGGCTGTGATCTGTGAGAAGGCCAGGGCCTTGTATGCCGACCCCATGGATCAGCAGCCTGGAACATCAGCTGAGCCTGAGGAGTTCAAGGCCAGCAGAGGCTGGTTTGAATACTTCAAGGCAAGATCCAGCATCCACAGTGTGGTGAGGCACGGAGAGGCAGCGAGCTCAGACACCACTGCAGCAGAGGACTTTGCTGTGGAGTTCCTTGAGGTCGTAACAACAGAGGGCTACCTTCCAGAGCAGTTCTTCAACTGCGATGAGACCGGCCTGTTTTGGAAGCGGATGCCCAAAAGGACCTTCCTGACCCAAGAGGAGAGCAAGCTGCCTGGCCACAAGCC